AGCAGACCTTGGTGCCGGCCCCCGGCTAACTTTTGTCGCATAAAAAACTGACAAGATGCAGCAGGGGAGTGTCTGAGAACAGCTCTAGTGACGCGAGCACGCCAGGTGGTACGATATTCTTAAAAAAACACTTCTTAAAGTAAAGAACAGTTGATTGAAGCCGTAGCAGGGGGGGGGGGCATCAAATCAAGGAAGAACTTGGGCAGAGATTGAATTCACCATCAGACCTTACAAAAGGCGATTTCCTTCTCCAAAATGATCGCTGGTCAATTCTTTACTACTCCTATAGAGATCAAAACTCCAACGAGAATAACTTATGATGATTGTTTTACATTTCACTGTCTGAGTGGGACAATAGCAACCATTTTCTGACCTTAATTTGCATGTGAACGCAGATTATGCCACTGACAAAGGAGTAATTTGTTCCCATAAGTCGGAAACGGCAACATCAACGCGTGGCGTCTGCTTCGCAGAAGGCTGGCGCGGGTTTTTTTTACATGTATTGCTATTTGAACAACCCTTACGTCTGGTAATACACCCCCCTTTGACAGTGCATGAGATGGAGACGGGGCAATTTAAGATAGCGACGAGATTAATGTCCGAAATGCATAAAACGTGTCAATTAAACTGCACTCACCTGAATATCGGTGGCCGTGATGCTACCAGAAACCTTCGTAATCTTAGATCTGTAGTCAAACGTAGCCTAAAGCGTGCCTAGAAAAAAAAGAATTTCAGACCAACCTGTACGATGCACCTGAGGATAGACTCCACGAGAAGAACAAAGAAGGTTGCCGTGCCTGTGTCCATTCGGCCCTCGGCTGTCTAAGGAGTTAACCTGCGTTAACTGAAAAGGGGGAAGACCTACTCTGAGCTGAAGGATAATTTTGTCCGCGGGTATGCAAAACTGCCACTTCCGGGCACCACGCTCGGTTGCAAAACGGAACTCATCGAGACGTTTTTGCGAAGGGCGCAGTTTTTCGGGCAGGCTGTGATTGACACGAGATACAAGATCGCTGATGGAGGAGGGTAGGAAGGGTGTGCAAAGAAGTTTAACCAGATCAAATATATGTTCTGCCAGAAAGCTCTTCGCCTGGGGGTCAAAGTCGGGCACCGGTGGTGATTGCTTGGTACTTAAAAACTCTATGACAGCCTCGCAGGACTGTTCCAGGAGGTTTGGACGGAAAATGCGATCGACGAGCGTGGAGGTAAGAAGGGAAGCGGAGAAAGTGGTGTGGTAGTAGGCTGAGGAGAGTTTACCAGACATTTCAGGCCATAGTAGACTGTAAAAGAAGGGAAACGGATAAGTGTTACAAGATACTTCGGGTACCCTTCTAGATCTTTTAGGGACACGTACGTACGTTCAGACCTCAGGCCAAACCTACAGCTACTGTGTGAAGTTTAGGAAAACCTTGTGGTGGGGAATATCGCCGTGTGAGAGCAAAAGGCGTCAAAACTATAGAACAGGAACAAGAACAAATAATACGTGCATATATTTGAGAATCCTTTGTTTTAGTAGGCCAATGGGTAAACATATCGAACGTTCGACCATCGACTCCGACAAAGCATGGTGCTACAGAGACGGCGACTTTTGCGTTAATTAATTTAGAGTGGCAGAACCTACTGCACTATTTTCGCCCCCATCTGGGCCAGGTTTCAAGGCATAGTGAAGAGGACCGGAGGAGGAGCGGGCGCATGTAGATGGCGCAGCCGTATCCACCCCTGAACGTGCCACCCCATGGCTACAATTTCATGGAGTGGGAGCGCCACAGACGCCGCGTTTAAAAGGAACCAGTGCAAACTGACTGTCAGTCCGCCAGTCGGCCTCCAAGCAAACGCGCACTGCGTTCATTGCGAGGTCCGAGTTATCTCGCCTATTGGAAGCCCCCAAAGCCACGGCTCTTAACGCACCATGGTGGAGTAAGACGCGTCCGATTGTTGATAACGAGGAAAACACAGAGACAGTCGATCCCACCTTTACCATTTGCCCTTTATCGTACAACAATCGATTGCCCAAGTCAGTCAACTAACAGATGCTACGATTGTTAGAGATGGTTGACAGAGCTGAAAACAGCTACTTAGCGCGTGCCACATACACAACCTCTCTCCCGTCTCTGACACAGACACGACACCTCAAGATTTCACACAAACGGAATGAAGTGCTCGCATCTCAAATGTAACAGAAAAGCAACATAGAGATAGTCAAACACACTTCCAACTTCCGTGAAACATGGCAATTCCGCACTTGTGTGGTTGGTAAGGGAGGAGTTCGTGCGTTGTGAGTGCTGGTGATGCTAGGGTTAAACCAGCGCTATTTTACTGCAGGCTTTCATGGATGCCCATATGGCTTGATAGACCTAGTGGTGAATGAATGGGTTTGGGCGGTGGGCATTTGAGATGGATGCTGTTGGTGTATGTTGATGCTCCAGGAAATGGTTCTTCAGCATATGTGATGGATTAGCAAATGACCGATTAGTGCAATGAGTGATGTGTACGGGCGATGGAAAGGTGGACATTATAAATTGGGAGCTGAGGAACCGATTGCAGTGGATGCTGCTAGGAATGGCTGCGCTCGTGGATGGGGTTGATGGCGATGAACATGAAATATTCGTCGGGTGTACACTGTGTGCTTGACGGTAGATGACCTAAACCATGAAATGACAAGGTGGACGATTAAAGATACTAACCTTATTAGCCATTAATCCCCGGAGTGCCTTCTACTGATCAGGGATGCAGCTCCAACACATGGCTTTTAGAGCGTTTCTAAAGAAATCAACTGATTTAACGATTTTATTCAATTGAGACACCACAGACTATAGATCAAGACCCGGCGTCAACAAGGCTCAGTTGAGACCATTTAGCCATCTGCCATCGTTAATCAAACGTGGAGCACTGAACCGACCAGAATGTATCAGAACTGCAACGCCCATGGCTCTCTGTTAAACATCAGCTCAGCAGATACTTATGGCGGTACTGGAAACACGTTTTGGCAACAGATATTCATTTCGTATCAGTAAACTATGTAAGTTCAAGGTTCCAATCCAATACGGTCAAATTCAGTCTGCTCTTTCCACTCCCCGGCAAAAGAATCAGGTGATTATGGCGAGCAGCTTATTGAACCAGGTCTTGTACTTGCGAGTACCATTTTTATCCCATTGGTTGACATGGAAATGACATAAATAACCTGTAAATTCCTTTTTAATTCACGCGTGAGCCAGCCGGTCATTGGATGGTTTCCATGCGCATAGTACACGGTTCATTCGTTGCGGTAGAGCGATCGCTACACAGTTTCTACCATAAGAGTCAGGTGAGACACCATAGTGTACAATGAAATTGTAATTGATCCCCCAGACTGTAGGTTTCCGAGTATCTAAGTTGCAGATTCTGACTTCGGACAGGCATCGGACATGCACGTGGTGCTGACGAAGGCTTCGTGCTGTGGGCTTATAAATGCCTTGGTCTAAGACTGCACATTCTAGCACTCAATATCAAGAGTCCGTTCACAACTGAGTTGTCCAACTCGTATACTATTCGCCCGCATCACTGGGTTAGGGTTGCGAAGTACATCAGTTTCCCTAGACACCGAAGCGCGAACCGTAGTACGTGAATCGGACACTTCATGAGCATTTTGAGTAAAGGTGCATCCACAAAAGTCGCTGGGTTGTTTTTTATTGAGTATATCTACACTAAGGCTTTGGTCTGAGCGCCTAGCTACAAGACAGTGGTAGTAACCAAGCGCATTTAACGACAGTCTACAGTCGCTAATTAACAGTGGAATTTTAAAAGGTAGTTGGAGAACAAGACCTCTCTTGTCTGCGATTTGGTAACCTTGTCACTGCTGGCCTGTGTTTGTGTATTGGCCAGCCCAATGAATCTGCTTATCTTGAAACTTAACTTCGCTGAAGACCATTCCGAAATCGTCAACGGTAGATACGCCAAGTCGTCAGCAGCTGGGCCAACAAATCGGTGTTGTAGCTTAATTATTGAAATCGCATGAACAGCGCCACCTCCACTGTCGATATGGACAATAATCGTCAGGAGGGAAGGGGCTACAGGATTGCATGACACGGCCGGAAAAGTTAATGGCATCAAATGTTACCTCCAAGCAATTTGGCATGAACTTTCCAATGGGACATGATGGAAGAAAGGAGACGCGACTGAATCTGATCAGGCGCTTAATTATCTTTTTAATACAACATGATATTAAACCAGAACGAAGCCAAATCAACGTACCGGTCGTATATTTTTATTAAAACAGTAGATGTGGAAAGCGTTATACGGATGTTACAAGATGCCCCACGAATAAATAATAAATACGTAGGTTACTACTGTGCTATCGGAACAGGCATAAACCTCATCGAAAAAAACAGCGCAGGTTATAGTTTAAGTATGCTTCGAGTCGGGTTCCTGTTCGTAACTTTACGGTGGGAGGTAACATTTATTTCAGGACTTAGCACTTTAACCAATTGTAAAACCTATTTTTACGAGTCTTTGCGATCAGCTACTGTAAAGCCTGGTATTGACATTGAAAGTCTGAATCAACTAAGGTGTCAAACAAAGGTAACTTAGCTGACTGATGAAAGGGTTAGTAATGGATTTCAGCAGACGAGGTCTAGGAATATTTAGGATGCTGCTAATACTGGCCGAATAAAATACTATAAATATTTTAACGCTGTTATGAGTTTTTCCTGAAAAATCCAAACACTCGTATTACTGGATTTGGGGCGTCACCGGTATTTTGCAGTAGATGAAAACACACATTTGCCTCACTAATGACGGCAAACTGAACAGTACTAAGGCTTTGTTTCCCTAGCCTCTATCTAGTACTGTACTAACATCTCAGAAGTGCGGGATCGTGGGTGGCCAATAATCGGTTTGGCGAACAAGGCAGTCTGCGTCAAATACTTGAAGAGACAGGATGACGGATTGTGCCTGCGGATTCAGCTAAAAAATTAACTAGCCTTAGACTATCCACGGAACAAATAGGATTTTTCAGGGATCCCTATAGACATATGTTAGTTTATATAAACTAAACTTATAAGCATATGTCTATGGGAAGAAAGTAGTGCCAGTAAAAAATTAACTATTTAAAACACTGACTATCAATAAGCCCCAGAACGGAACTCACGTGACCATATAGGGCGCAGCAGCCCGCGCAATCTGAACTATTGGCAGAAGCGCGAACAACGCATTCACCCAGTTGTAATTTCTAACAGATTTACACACAAACTACTGGTACAGGCAGTTATTTCAACCAATCCTGTTGTGAATTTAGTTCACTTAAACTGTGTGCCATACCTGTATTCTATTATCATTGTCTGCATAATGTTATTATTATATTCAATGCTAAAAACAATTTGACGCAACTCTGCTAAGTTTATCCTACTTCATTTCTAAGCTATTCGCAGCGATGTATAGGTATATCATGAGGTATATGATCACGGTACTGCCCGTCTTCTGTTTTTTTCTTAAATATTTTTTTCGTCTACAGGTGGCAGTCACTCGCACTGAATAATATTTTTATGTTGCTGGTTTTGTGATAGTGAACCTTCGACCTCCTATAGGACATGCAACATCTTTGATTCAACAGCGTGACGTTAGAAGCACGAAGCACAATTTGCTTGACAGCTGATTGTGTATAGCCAACCTGTTTCCAAACTGTTTGATGACGATGAGCTCATCGAAACTGTCCTTTCATTAATCAAGATTTTCGAAGAGCGTCTTTTCTGCGTTCACGGCACGATGTTCGGAACATTAATGAGGCCGCATGCAGAATATAGCATTCAAGTGTGGAAACACTGGAAATTGTAAGATCAGGACAGTCTCAAATGAGTTCAAAGGAAAACCGCCAAGATGGCCAAGTGCGTGCCGTCTAACAAAGCTCAATCTTTTCTTTTTGGCTCATTGGGAACTACGCGGGGATCTCCTGCAGGCATTACGTCTGGTGAAAGGATTGGATTGTTGCCTGGTTTTTGAAGATTATTTTGAATTTCAGGAGGCCTGACAGGATATGAGCATGTTCTCCGTTTCCGTCAAAGTCGTCAAAACATAAAATGTCCTGCCTTCTGATGTCGTGATACCACCATTACTGGATTGGTCTTAGAAGAATCCTGACAGATGTATTTCCCAAAGCGGGCCATTGAGAATCACATTCCAATTTTCATAATCTATGTTTCTTTTTAAAATATTCAGTATGAATGCCGCGTATGGTCGCCTCCGGTAGCTGCAATTGTAAAA